AGGGACCTCCTGAGCGGGAGCTGAGTGTCCGTGAATCTCATTTCCCGAAGGGATGAATTAGGATGAACTCCTCAGAAGCTTTCCCATAGGTGTTGCCCCGTGATGAGTGTTGCAGTCCTTTGAGCCTGTTCCCAGCAGTATCTGGAGGCCAGTCAGCTGTAAGTACTAGATGACTTTGAAGTGTAGGTGTGACCTGCTTTCCTCAGATAATTGTTTTCTGGGCTAGCACAGAGACACCGATGCAGCCCAGAGTTTTGGAATAACTTTGCCTTCATTATTGCTGTTGTTGACGGATGCTTTATACAGAGCAGGGAGGTCTCGTTTCCCCCTGTGGCTTGTTGCATCTTGAAGGAGCATCTGACCTTAGGTGGGCGTTAGCTGGTGCCTCCTTCATCCTATTCTGCATGCAACACTGGTGCTTGCAGCACTGGTGCTTAGATGGTGGTACCCGAAGAAACCTAAATATCCCAAATTGCATCGGAATGCTTTCTGAGCCTATCTTTAATAGGCTTTAATAGGGTAGGGCTGTTGGGGCTGTGATGTCCCCCCAAATCCATGTGGAAAGGAAAGTCTTTGAAGACTGAAGGTTATGACAGCAGTATTGTAGCGTCTCGTCCTTTCTCATGGCCCGGGGTATGTCTTTTCTCCTGATAAAGAAAACTGAGCCCCAGAAGCAGCGCTGCTGGCAAGTCCCATTATTTCAGACCAGCTCTGTGCCTGCACGTGGCGTGTCCCTCAGCTCCATCCTGCACCGAGCGCTGCTCCTGCCTCGAGTTTCCTTGCAAAGAGCCGTAGCACTTGTGCGAAGTTTAACTTCTCCCTGTTAAAACGAACTGGATCCCCACGATGCCATTCTCAGAGCCGGTGAGATAACCGAGGATTATTCACCTGGAAAGGGTGCCCAGCCGTGGTGCACCAGCGTTGTGCGACCTCGTGTTTATTTACCATGCAGTGCAGTGTTGCACATCAGCCCAGAGGTCCCCGCTGCTGTCCCATGGCACTTGGCACTGATCTCCAGCCGCTCCAGGCAGCGGGATGTTGCTGCCCTGTGTACGTAGCAACGCTCAGACTGAACATGCAGATAGTAGCTGGGGGGATTGTTCCGCTGCTGGTTTTGCTGCGTCCTGTGTCACCTTCCCTGCAGCCATTTCGTGTCTTGTTCCATTTGCAGGCTGTGTAAACCATTTGCAAATTCAAACAAAATAACTTTCTTTGATGGAAATTCTGCTTTTGAGTCAAAAAGCTGAAAAGTTTAATTTGGGAAATGTTCAGGGGAGATGTTTCAGCGTTCCAGAGACAGGATCATTCCCATAGGAAACATTGAAATTAAATGTTGGTTTTAAAAAAATATTTCACCTAGTATTTAAGTTGCCAGCTAAAATTATTTGTGAAGTCTGACTTGAATATGTGGGTTTTCCAGGTCCCAGCAAATCAAAAGGAGGTAGCAGAAGATGACTTTTTGCGTCTGCTGTCTGCTTTCTCAGAGAAGTGCCAAGTCGGGCTCTCAAAACACTTCCCGTGGAAACAGAAGAGAGACTGATACCTTCTCAGTGCTTCTTTTGCCTGGGTAGCATCCTCACCCTCAAATGGCAGGAGAAGGACCCCACAGCAGCTGATGACAGCAGACTGACAGAGGCTGCCGAGGTGCCCAGGTGCTGCGGGGATGGGGAAGGGCTTGGCAGCACGGCTCGCAGCCAAGTTTCGTGGAGGGTTCAGTGTTGGTCGTGGCCCACGTCTTGGTGCAGCTGATGGCACAGCAATGTGTTGTGCACACTTCTGTTAAAAAAAAACAAACCAAACTTATATTTGACATTTTCAATAATTTAAAAAAAAAATAATCCACAACCAAATATAATCTAGCAACAGTAGCCAAGTTGGGATGCCCTGCCTGGTACAAGTGCCTCTGGTGTGCAAGCTTTGCTCTGTTTCCTTAGAACAGACTAAGAAACATGATCGGATGCTTGAAAACTGGTGCAGACTGTCAAACGAATGAAACCCAACCCATTCACCCTTCACAAAACCTCCTCTGGTGCCAACAGGTTGCCCCAGCTTTCCAAAGCCATCATTTCCTTGCCCCTTCCCATGTGCTGGAGGGGAGACTCGTAGGTGTGAGTCCCATTCCAGCCCCACGGTAGGACGGTCAGGGCTTCCAGCACTTGCAGGGACGCACCATGCCTTTCTCTTGCTCTGGGCCCCCACCTGCTGGAGACACCATGCTGAGTTGTCTGGTGCTTGCACACCTCTGCACAGCTCGATGGGTGTGCAGGGTCCTGTTGACTCAGGAGCTTGGAAGTGTTTCCCTGTGGTGAGAGCTCCGATGTCTCGTGCTTAAGGTGCTTTTGCCTTGGAGACGCGGCTGATGCCCCGCTCTCCTCTCACTCCCTGGGGTCCTGCCTGGGTGTACCCCCAGTTGGAGTTTGCAGGGGATGAGGAGTGGGTTGTTGGACACCAACCAGTCTCCTTTTAGGACCAACATCCCTAATGGACTGCAGGAACCTTTCTCATCTGCTCCCTTGCTGTCCTGGCCCCTTTCTTCACCCTTGTTTCATGCTCCAGCTCCTGCCTTTGGAATTGAGTTCCCACCTTGCACTGTGCTTCCCAATCACTGCTGCCAGGATTCGCGCCTGGCCCCACAGCCTCGCAGGGCACAAGAGCCGGGGGATGCCCGTGGAGCCACAGGAGGGAGCCCGGGAATGATGAGGGAGCCTGGCTGAAACCCTCCACCCAGGCAGGTCTTTGAAACCTCCCCGAGGAGGGCTGGGTGGGAACTGGGAGGCTGGGTGCTATGGGGAGCTTGGAAAACCTCAGGTTCATTCAAAATGAAGCTGAGGCCTCAAAACAGCCATTCCAGAGGAGCAGCAGGATACTGCGTGAGGTGTTTGCGTGTGCCAGGGAGACTTCGATGAGCAAACTCTGCGTGTGCAGGTGTCGGGCGCTTCGCCCCGTGCCCACCCCTCTTTGCTGGCGCTGCCCTCCCGCCGGTTGCACTTTCGGGTCAGGGCGATGTTTGGCTGCTCCGTTCCCCTCCGTTTGATGCTGTTCTTGCTCCATCCTTGCCGTGGTGCCGATGCCAGAGCCGGGCTCATCTACTGTAAGATTCCCTCCTGTTTGCACAGTTAACCGACGGCCACGCTGAGCCGTGCCCCACGTGCTGACTCGTGAATCCCAGCTAAACCTTTGGGGATCACTTCCCTTCTCCCAGTCCCCTGCCCTCTCTCGCTCCTGCAGCAGCGAGCAGAAAGGGCAGGTTTGGATTTAACCACCCCAGTGGGATTCATCCAGCTTTTGGCTTAGCCCTGGGGCAGCTTTTCTTCCCCGTGCCTCAGTTCTTCATCCATCCCACCCTTCTTTCTGCTCTCCCCAGCCTGTCCCAGAGCCACTCCAGAGCCTGAGTCCTAAAACTGACTTTTCTTCCTCAAGGCAATGGTCCTTTCTGATGAACTGCCTACAGAGAGTGCCCCCACTGCAGCCAGAGCGCAGCGTGCATCCCAACCCACATCGGCAGAGAAGAAAAGACAAAAAGCAGCAGGTTTTAAAAATGACACATGCTCTTTATTGGACCATACGATATGGTAGGCTTGGAAGTGACGAGGCTGTAGCCATGAGGACATGAGGTTAGAAATCAGTGTGGCAATTCATATGCACAGAAAGCAATAACCTTTCCCACAAGTGCCTGAGAAAACAGAAGGGGCTGGAAAAATCTTTAGTTGCAGACAAAACATTTGGAGGTTGTAACACGTGTTGTGGGCAGAGGCTTTTAGAGCGTCTTGGAGCTGTTTTCACTGCTGAGGACCCGGTGGTTTCACAGGGCTGTCACCCTTGGTTTGGGACAAACGCTACGGATGTGCGTGGCCGAGCGCAGCTGTCCCCCTTCAGCAAAGTGCTTCCATCACCTCAGACGCACGACTCCGTGGGAGAACAAGGGAAGAACAAGGGCTGTGCTGAAAGAGGACCACCACCAGGGTCCACAACGGCTCTTCAAAGCCCTGTCAGTGACCTGTTACAACCTATGCTTTAGCCAAAGGTGCTCCAGATTCTCGCGGTGGGATCCTGGTCCCCTCCGCTGCCTCAAAGCTGGAGGGTGAAGGACAGAGGAAGGAGAGGGTCTAGCACAGCTATTTACACCATTGATTTCGTAGGGCAGCGCTTGCTTTCGGAAGGCAGGAGGCACGCCGTCATCCGTGCCAGGAGCCCTGTGCTCGCCATCCTTATCTGATGGTCTTTTTGCTAGTGGTGGTCTTGGAAACGATCCTCACGCTGCCTCCCGTGCTGGAGCTGACGCCTCGGCTGCTCCCAGAGCTGAAGGGGCTGCCTCCCACCTA